CTGGAGTTAGGGACCCTCCACCTTTCAGTGGATTGGAAGAACCCTGTACCCTCCACACGGAAACAAACTATCAAAAGGCAAACACTGAGGAACGCTTCATTCGTCCGAAACTCTACTTCAACGTTCAAAACAAAAAAGACCCACACATTTGTAGCAGTAAAAGTCTCTTTTCTAAACTTACTTTTGTTGACGCAATACAATCAAAAAGCTGCGGCTTTGTGTTAAAAAGCCGAGTTCACTATATCCTTTCGGAGATGGACCGCATAGAAGAAAGCTTTAATTTTGAAGCTTTAAATGTTTGCATTGAATATCAATCAGTATTGACACTACCCTTACCTATTGAAAAGTGCCGGACCGAGGGGAGGGCGGGGGGGGGGGTAGCATTCCTCCCTAGAATGGGTCGCCAAATTTTTGAAACTTACCTACATGGATTATAAAAATGTGCAAATGACTTGTTTATTTTTGACATGAAATAGTAATTGAAATAATTTTTTAAATTCTTTAAAAATTCAATCTTGGGCCCGAAAAAATGTCAAGAAGCACCCCAAAAAATTTTTCGGAGTGGGTGGCTGACGCCACGCACCTTCATTTCAAAAAAATTTTTCCGCCCCCTCCCCGGACGGAAATCCTGGGACCGCCACTGCTAGTGATCAGTGGGCAGGAGGGGGGGGGGCAGGCAAAACTTATTTTCGAATGAAAGTGCGTGGCGTATCATGCACCGGAAAAGTTTATTTGGGATGCTTCTCAAAGTTTTTGCGGACCCATGGCTCCAAAACTTCGAGAAATGGGGCGCGTGGCGCTATATCCCGGAAAAATCTGCCGCACCACATACAATTCGGCGTAAAAAAGCCGGAGTTGTATTCCTCAAAAAGAGGAACACAACTGCAGGAATGCAAAAAATCGATAAAATCGATAAAAGTAACAATTAATTTGAAGTAGTACTAGTGTAATCGTAATCAGCATGCTCGATTACCCCCCCCCCCCCCGGCGCCAACTCTCAGCCCCGTATTTTGCAAAAAGTCGGTAAAAGTAATGGATAATTGCAATTATAATATATTGAAGGTAGTGGCTTGGCAAATCCTCGACCTGAAGTCTCTTCTCTTGCCTGGGGATTTGAACGCGCTGGTTCCGAAAATACACTTTGAAGAGTGCGAAGGCGAAAACTAGCATTTTTTGAGAATCATCATTGTGAATTTGGACGAGTGCAACGCTTCACGTCATGTTTGGAGACGTAGAGTCGTTGCGGGACCATGATGTTTATAGCATTGCGGCATTGCGGCGTGCCGCCTCTGACGGTCGAAAGGGAATCTCAAGTTCGTCCAAGCTCGTGTAAGAATGGCTTGCGCGCACGGGTTTAGGGCATTTTTCTAGGCGAAGGAAGCATGCTATGAGCTCGGACCTGCTCTGTTCTCATGTTTGAGAGGCAGGCAACCTTCCATATCAAAATTTTGGTATGTTTGGTTTTGCCGAGCCACTGCCTTTAAGGAGCGAAGGATTTGTCTAATTATTCATTACAAGAGTAATGATCACTTTGAAATATCTGTTCTTTCTTCATCTTACTTTCCTATAAATCAGTGTTAGGAGCTTGTTATGCTTGAAAAAGCTGCATAAAACCAAAAGAGGAAACTGTACGCATTGTAGGTCTGTTCCGCAAAGCTTCTAAAGCTAGAGTATATTACGGCAGCTAATGACTAACAGCAGAGAGAATCAAATCTGCAAGATTTCTAGTTTATGCTTCACCAAATTCGAACATCAGGGCTGTGTGAGGGAAATTATTGTCAAATTTTGTAGTTTGACAAGAAAGTACTAAAACTTTCAGTATGACAATTATGTGCTCGCTTTGCATATGCCATATGGCGTATGCATTTTCGGAAAAAAATTTTGTTAGAAAACATAACTCAAATTCCCTTTGAAAAAGTTGGGTAAACCTGGTAAAGGTGCGTGTTAATGTTTGCAGTCATCAAGTAATTCACTAGTGAGCTAGTTGTCGGTACAGAAGTAAGTGAGCATCTGATTACATATCCCATTAATTCGGAAATTTAGTTCCAAGTTCTCTCTTCTCTGAATCTGGACATTCTGGCGTAGTAGTTTTCTGCGTTAGTATGCCAAATCCAGGTCAGCGTGGTAGTATCGTTTATTTGACCTTATGTTTCGATGAAGGAGGTCTAAAGTGGATTGCAATTCAAATTTATGAGACAAGACCGCAGGCCATTGCCAAACATCAGTGAGCCTAGACTTGGTCTCGCTCGCATGGTACCGAGATACACGCCGGTTAAGAAATTGACCTGTGATCCACCGCGGTGTTATTGAGAAAGCCAGCCTGCACAAAAGGCAGGGACGACAGCGAGGGCTGCTCACTTGATAGGTCTTTTTACATGTGTATGTGAGTTACAGCCTGCATATAGAAAATGTACGGCTTCATAGGTTTTGAAGAGTGAATGGTGCTCTATCAGATAGTGAAAAACTGAAGTCGATTTGAGAGATATTCGCCGAAAAAGAGAATTCAAAATTTACTTCATTTTAGCTTGTTCAGTGACAGCTGACACTTAGACTTATATAAATTTTCAATGTGAAGGTGTGTGATGTTGCGACTTCATAGGTTTTGTACAGTAAAGTCTGTCTTATCAGGATATTCCTTAGCCGTACCGATCCATTGAGACAGCGCCGAGATCCAGGGTCTTGAGAAAGCAGGTAAAAAAGCGCTTCTTAAAATTTAACAGCTCACAACTTCTCAAAAACTGCATGAATCATGTTGCAACTTCAAAGGTTATATTCTCCTTATCAAGAGCTTTCAGATTATGTATAAAATGTGGAAATTTAGGGACTCCTACGACTTATGCCCGTGGGGGGAGACTTTTCATTACAAATTCTCCCCTGGCGGCCTCCACCCAGTACATTGAAGTGGGCTGGAGGCAGAGGTGCGATGGGTGGAGCCGGGCCCCCCAAAATTCAAGGTGGTTCCAGCTACCACTGGCCGGCAAAAGTGAAGGTGGTAGTGCTAGACACTCACCTCCCAAGAACTTCGACCGTGGGGGGGGGGGGGGGAGCAGAGTTGCGTTGGAAAGAACCGGGCAGATAGATGGGGGGGGGGGGGATTTGAAGTTTGATGTCGACGGGGAGGGGGCAGCTCAACGTCACTTTCGCAGAAAAAATCTTTCTCAAAAGGTTCATAAGCTTTTCCACTGACTAATAAAGAAGAAAAATAAGAAGAACAAATTTAAAGGTTAATGAAAGCTTTTTTCTCATTCATTTTATTAGTTGGGTCACAAAGTTGGTTCGCCAGTTTTCAAAAAATCATGACTTCCTTTTTTTCTTTTGGTGGAATTTCTTAATTTTATTTCTGTTTTAAAAAGGAAACCCTTTTTTACAGCAGTATCTTTGGGATGAAATGACGTGAGGAATTCCGAGAGTTAGAAGCAGTTGAATGACAGCAGTCAAGATCAGCACTTTTCCAGCTGGATCACGAAAAATTCTGGAAGTGTTTTCATTCGATAGAGAAAATTATGCTCTTTACTACAGCACCTTTACCACGAATTAAAACGGAAAAGATCGAGAGTTATAAGCAAATAAAAAGAACTACTTCAATTTTGCAATTTTTGAGCATGCTCAAAATAGCCCAAAAACGTCACAAAAAGGCGGAAAAGCCATGAATATGGGTTTTGTGACCTTCTCTTTTTGAGTGAGTGAAAATAATAGTAAGATTCGAGTGCGATTTTAATTTTCGTGAAAAACACAGGCCCGAAAATCCGGAAATATTACGAAAATCAAAATTGCTCTCGATTGGTACGGTTTTCACTCACCTAGAAAGAGAAGATCACAAAACTCATGTTTATTGCTTTTCCGCCTTTTTTGTGACGTTTTTGGGCTATTTTGAGCATGCTTAAAAATTGCAAAATTGAAGTAGTTTTTGAAAATCTGGCGAACGAACATTGTGACCCACCTATTACGTTTGGGAGCTCGCCGTAGCCTACTGCGAGCACCCAAAGGCCATCCCGGCATGGATGCATCTAAGCCTCAGCACTTCCCACAAATTCGGAGGACAAAGCTTCTTGATAAATTTCAAGAGGTCTAACCCAGTAGTCCTCTTTAGGGCCAACAACTGTGACCAACGGCCCTCCTTAAAGCCACAAATACGATGAGTACAGCGGCATGAATATTTGAAATAAACGTGTTTATCAAATGGTGTATCTATATATACAGAGTGTCTCAAAAAGATGTGCACACTGTTTGATCGTTAATAACTCTCTTGCTTTCATGTCTCTTGCCGAGCTTGAGGTACCATTCTGTAGAGCGAGGATAAACTTAGATTTACAGTATGGAGCGAATCACCACTCACTCATCGTTGATGTAGGATCACTGTAGGAACTTTCAGCATACAAGGCCACTGCGGAATAAGCCATTTGAGGAAATTACTTCGAAAAAAATCTAAAAATTTGTGTGGCAAAGTTTTCAGGCGTGCTGATTTCACTTCATAACTTTCCACCAGTTATTCGAGCTTTCTTGATGGCGTACTCACATTTCTGACCAACACTGGAAAGTCAGATATTACCCTAAATTTGAAATAACTCATGAAAGAAGCAATGTACTGATGTGAACTTTTTATATTTAAATTCAGCAACTTCGATTAACCCAGTTTAAGAGTTTCTGGCTTGTTTGGCTTTCTTTTTGAAGCAAAATACCGCTTTTAATGGCTTGAAATCCTCCTCGAAATTCCCACCGTAATCCTACAGTAATAAAGAGCGATCGACGATCCGCTCCATACTGATCTAAGTTAAACTTCGCTCTAAAGAATGGTGCCTCAAGCCCGGCAAAAGACATGAAAGCAAGAGAGTTATTAACAATCAAACAGTGTGCACATCTTTTTGGGACACCTTGTATAAACTAGCTGGTAACTAGCTTTACTTACTCCTCTTGGTATGTTGTAGCGACATAAGCACCCTTTGATTTTGTAGCTATAGCAACGCCTTGTAATAATACTAAATGCATCAGCGAACAAAATTTCAGATTTTTTTTGTCTTGAATCTGTGCTGCAATACAATGATTGAAAAAATGCAAATTCAGCTTACACTAATATGTTCCTAATGGCAAAGCAAAGTGTGCTTACCTTATCTGGTATCTTATATATTAATGGATTACTTGTATTGTAGGCGCCTCTTTCGACTTTATCCAAGTCAAAATCATAAAGGGTCTTGCCGCTTAGTACCTAGGAGGAATAAATGAGATGTTATCGAGGGAAGACTAGTCAGAGATGAAATGTACAAGTGCTCAAATTTACCCATAATCTATGCCCTCCTAGTTCTGTTATGTATGATGCGATAGAACGGCTATAATTGTAACGTTTCGGCAAGTTGAACTTTTGCTCATTTCTAACACTGTAAATGGGAAGTAATTTTTCAAATTTTGCAGTGACAGTTTGCACATATGCATCTTTGAAATTATCAGAGCATTTGAAAGGTATCAAGGTTTTCTTGTCGTTGTTTACATTGAGAAACCTCGATGTGACTTTTTCGTCACTATACCTATCATCTATATATATTAGGCTGGAAGCTAAGTTTTGCAACTGGTTTCATAACTTCACTCTCTCTGGATATGGCGCACTCAAACTTTGGCATTATGTAGAGGGCAATGTGAGCTACAAGAGAGCACAAATTGTCTAAATTTTGAACACGAAATAAAAAAGTTTCAGTCGTTTTCCGAAAACTAGTAAAATATGAGAATTTTTGGGGTTTCAAGCTAAAATAAAGCCTTTGGCAGCTTAGACCATGCGCAGTAATCCAAATTCGTCTATATATCATTGCTGGAGCTTAACTCCTTCGGCCTAGTAAAAAGAAACAAAATTTTGGGGCATATCGAGATTTGGCGTTCTCACAAATTCGCACGAGTCGATGTACGCAAGAGCTGCTGGGGACGACCGTCAATGACTAAAGAGTCCGAAGCCCAAATTCCGCTGAGACTTTACATAGTAGGGTTATTTGACCTGCCAAACGCGGATATCACATTCATTTGTTGAATCAATGGCTTTTTCCTTGTTTAGGGTGAGACCCCATATCGTACATCTACAGTAATCCTATAAAAAAGCCCTTACCACGCAATTTCACTATCGTTTTCGTGATCAGCATGTCGGGTAACACACCTTTGAAAAGTTTCAGCCAAATCCATCAAACTTTGAATTTTTCCCCTTCATACCATGCACCTACCGTAACCCTCACTGCGACGTCAGAATTTGGTAGGACAGCAGCTGCGCTTGTAGCTTACGTAATAACCAACACAGTGACAATTTTTGAGTGCGCCATGTAGTGAGAGGAAAGTTATTGCTTGAGTTGCAAAACTTAGTTTCCAACCTAATAAATAAAACTCAATTTCTGTAAATTTGTTAGTATGTAAGTATGTGGCTTATAGACTCCTTTGTTTGTGAACCGATGAGGCCGAAATTTGCTCCCCCATAAATGAGGCCAGGCGCAGAAAATAGGCTACTTTTCTCGACAACTCGCTGGGTCCTTCTATCGATTTATTGATTTGTTTACTTACATGTAAGGGAATGAACTTAAACATCATTCCTGGATCATAGTTGGGTAAGCGGGGCGGTAAAGATCATCTACATCTTGCGGCGAGGAGGATCCGGTTCTTCGAGTCAGCGGGGTGTGCGGAAGCGCTTCTTCAGATATGGATAAGGAAGGTGAGTCTTCAAGCTTTTGGATTCTAATGCCTTCCACCGGGCATTAGAGCCCGCTTCCCGGGCAAGACCGGGAATGCCATCTAGTTTGTAAATAAAACTCAGTTAAACTTTACGTACTTTAGAAAGTAAATTTTGTTATAACGTACTGCGAATAAAGTAGGTTGATCTAGGCAGTAACCAACGAGAACCAGAATTTGAATAATCAAATAGTGAAAATCATGCAAAATTTCCACTGTTATAATTCTGAAGTATGAAGATGTCAGCAACTGCGACTTCATAGGTTTCAAAGGGTCAGTGCTGTTCTACCAGATAGTAAAAAAACCATGCCGATTTGAGCAGTGGCCGCCGAGAACGAGAATTTTGAAAAATTGAGCGGTTTTAGGTTGCTTAGTGACAGCTTATTTCCCATAAATCTTGAATGTGAAAGTGTGTGATGTTGCAACTTCATAGGTTTTGTAGAGTAGGATCGCCTTATCAGAATATATCTTAGCCGTACCGATAGATTGATATAGCTCCGAAATTTAGGCTTTTAAAGAAACAGGTAAAAAATCGCTTTTTAGGATTCAACAGCTCATAACTTCTTCAGAATTGCATGAATCATGTTGCGACTTCATAAGTTGGATTCTCCTCTTTAAGAGCTTTCAGTTAATTTATGATATATGGGGGTTTCGCGCCTCTCACGGCATATGCCCGGGGGTGGAGACTTTTCATACCAAAGTCCCCACTGGCGGCCTCTAGCCAATACATTAACATGGGCGAGGTGGAGGCTGGTATGAAAAGTTTCCAACCCGGGTCAGAGCCGCAAATCATTGAACCACCCGCATATTATATATCATCCGAAAGCTTGGAGGGGAGAATCCAACCTATGAACTCGCAACGTGATTCATGCAATTCTGGAGAAGTTAGAGCTGTTAGCCTAAAAAACGGTTTTATACCTGTTTTTTTTTCAAGAACCTGGATCTCGGCGCCGTTTCAAAGAGATTCCAGATTTATAGGAGTCTAAACGTCAGCTGTTATTGAGCATCCTAAGATCGCTTAATTTTCTCGTTCTCGGCGGCCACTGCTCAAATCGACAGGATTCCTTCACTATCTGGTAGAACTACACTTACCCTTTAAAACTTATAAAGTCGCAATTGCAGACATCTTCAACCACCAGATTTATAATAGTGGAAGTTTTGCATGATTTGCAAAAATTTTATGTTATTTTATCATTCGAAATTCTGGTTCTCGGCGGTTACTGCCTAGATCGACCTGCTACATAGATATATGCTCTCAATAATTTTTTTTTGCATTCCTTTTGCTTAATTTCCTTCTTTTAAGCTTCAGCAAAAAAATTATTTTGCTTAATTTCCTTCTTTCCAGCAAAAAAAAATTCAAACCCAAAAGTAAAGCTGGTCATCCCCTTTATCTTTTTATCTTTTATTCATTCTCAACGGTTTACATTGTTCATGCAAAAGACCGTAATGATATTATGTAAGGCTTCATTATGTCAGTAGTGGGACAGCACATGTAATACCAAGTGTTCTCCATACAGCACATTCCATTCTTAGCTCCTGCCAATTACAATTAGGCTTATATATCTTGCAATGCTTACGGGTGTCTTCTTCCCATCGCGTTCTAGGTTTTTCATCACCGAAACGGCGGCCAGTAGGTGGAATCCAACGTGTAAGCATGTCTGTCCATCTTTCATCGCCTTCTTTTCCAAGTATTCTTCCAGCAAATCGCCATATTCTTCGACGAGCTATTGCGACTACATTTTTCAGTTTCGTGATAGACCGTATCCATTTTGAAGAATTTTGGTCTTCTAAGCGAAATCCTAGCATTAATCGTTCCATCGCTCTTTGGCATCGAAGAAGTTTGAGCAGCGAGTTCTTAGTCACCGCCCAAGCTTCACAACCATATGAAAGCGTTGGAAGTATCAAGTTATTAAAGTAACGGCGTTTGAGATGAACAGCAACATTTCGACTGCCGAGAAGTTGTCGTACTTGTCCGAATGCATTCCACGCTGCTTAGGCGTCTGGAAATTTCTTTATCATGACTGCGTGGGCATTGAATTAGCTGTCCAAGATATACGAAGCAATCTACACGTTCAATGACATTGAAGTTCAGTGTGATTACCGAGCTCGTCCAAGTGTTGTCTCTGTCTTCGCCCATCCACTTGGTTTTGTGGCCATTAATTTGAAGTCCTATTCGAAAACATGCATGAAGAAGCTTTACAGCCATTAATTCCAAATGACTTGGACTGAGATCTATGAGTACATTGTCATCCGCAAAAGCAAGGTAACGTAAATGTTTTCCACCAATGTCATTTCCTTCTTCTTCTTCCCACTGTACAGATTCGATCGAGTACTGCAGACCAGTGGCGTACCCAGGATTTCGGCTCGGGGGGGGGGGGGTGAAATGAAGGTGCGGTGGCGTCAGCCACGCACTCCGAAAAAATTTTAGGGGGGGGGGGGCTTCTCAAAATTTTTGCGGGCCCCCAACCCCTAAAATCCGAAAAAAGGGGGCGTGGCTGTCGCCACGCCCCGAAAAAAGTTTTTTATAAGGCTAATTTGAATTTTTAAAAAATTTTAAAAATTATTTTAATTATTTACAAAAATAAACAAGTCACTTGCACATTTTTATAACTCATGTAAGTAACTTAGAAAAATTTCGCGACCCGTTCTTGGGGGGGGGGAGGGGCGCCCCCCCTCCCCGCCTCCCCCTCGGTACCCCACTGCTGCAGACATATGATGAAAATAAGCGGAGACAATGCGTCGCCTTGACGGTCTCCTCTATGTATTTTGAAAGACGAATTGATATTGTTAAGTTGAAGTGAGGCTGTTGCGTTTTGATATGATAGTTCTATCATCAAAATCGTGTCATTATCTACTCCAAAGTATGCAAGAGCTTTCCAGATTGCGTTGAAGTTAATAGTATCGAAAGCTTTTTCAAAGCCGAGGAAAGAAATGCTATTGGTAGATGGTATTCATGGGTCTTCTCTATAAGTTGGTTGGTTGTTTGCAAGTGGTCGGTAGTTGAAAACGTTCGTCGAAAACCGGCTTGCTCAATGGAAAGATGTTTATCAACTTTTTCCTCTATCCGGTGGGCCGAAGCTCTTGTCAAAAACTTATACAATGAAGGTAAGAGAGAGAGAGAGATCAGGCGGTAGTTTTTGATGTCATACCGATCGCCCTTCTTGTGAAGTGAACCATGAAAGCATGTGCGAATTCATTGGGTATGCTACCTTTCTCACATTCGGTTGATGATATCTGCTAATTGTGGTGCAACGATCTCTACTCCATACTTTGCAGCCATATATCGGATTCCATCGATGCCTGAGGCAGTGTTTCCGCGAATTTTTGAGGCAGCTATCCTCAACTCGTCTGCAGTTATTGGGTAATTCACGATTCGATGGGTGTGAGCCTGAATGGGATTCTCGCGTATTCCGTAAAGCTCAGCAAAGTAAGTCTCAGACTTTCGTTGCGACCAGCGGCGTGCGCTTGGCGTACCAACAGCGTTCCTTAATGCGCCCTACCAGCGCCGTACCGTCTTTTGACGAGCGGCGTTCCATCAACCCAAGCCGAGTGGCGTCCCATCACATTACCCCACGCTGTAAGCGTAAGTCGTACCCGCATGGGATACGACGCACAGGTTGGGCCGCCTCGGCATCTTATCGTTAGTGGTTAGCTAACACTTCTCGATACTTGACAAGGGAATAAGGTTGAGTTGTTGTTCATATTGAGTGACTTGATAACATCTCAGCTGGGTGTTGTAGGGGTGGCCCATAATCCCCTGATTTCGATCCAACGAAGTCCATCGATCGAAATAGCAGGAAATTGTGCGCTAATTTTGGCTTCATAAAATATGA